TTCACGAAACTCACACAAAACATAATTACAGATTCGTAAAGATCATTTATTTCTCCACGATATGCTGTAATTTATTTTACAAAATAATTATATTTGTATTTTTTACGATTTTTTTAAAATGAGTCGAAATCGATACGTTTTATGAATAAGATTTCTAAATTGTTTCGCATGAACTTTCTTTCGCGTTAATGAAAAAAATATTTTACGCTAAAAATATTCTACACTAATTATCACTCTCTTTTAGAATCAGTAATTTAAATAATTTAATGTCAAAAACTTTTTTTTTCGACTTTTCAAAAAATACTCAAAATTTTATTTAAATACTTAATAACTTCTTTATTAATAAAAATAATCTCACGAAACTTTTTTCCGTGTGTAGAGCAATATTATACGTAATCTGTACAAAGATTGATAAAATATCTTAAAAATTACGGTTAAAAAAAATTCGTTTTTCAATTTTTTTCCCTTTTGCGATAGATATGTAAACATTACTTTTTGTTTAAGTTTTTTGTTTAAAAATTACCGTTGTTTTCAATCGATATATGAAGTTTGAAAGCATTAACTTAAACATGAAGTCCGAAAATTTTTTTTTACGTTAACGAATAACGAAATGGGATATTGAAAAAATATTCTTTTATTTTAAAGGTATTTTTACTGTTCTCCCGGAAGGAGGGGATAGCTGGATTGGTTAAAGCTCTGCTTTATAAAACGGTAGTTCCCAGGTTCGAAACTGAAGAGGAAGAATCTTTCGCATTACGCTACTTTTTGAAGTTTAAAAATTTTTAGTGGAATGAAAAAGGTTAAAATTAAAATGAAATATCAAAATGTTTTTATCAGATCGATTTTTTTAATGTTTTTTTCAGTACATGTATGTATATATATATATATATATATATATATATATATATATATATATATATATATATATATATATATATATATATATATATATAGGCTTTCCCCATACTGTTTTTTTTATTTATATATTTATATGTTTAAACAAACGTTCATAAAAAAGCAATCGTTTCAATAGCTATCTGTTATTTTTTCTTTTATTTATTACTTATAGTAATTTGATTTTAATAAATACATATATATATATATGTGTGTGTGTTTTAAAAGGATTATTTTTATTGTTTCATTACAAAATGAATTCTTTGTTAATTAAAAAGTACATCGTCTATTATTTTGGATCAAAATACATTTTAGAGACATTTTTAAGCTAGCTATATATAACGATTGATTCATGAAAATCGGAAATCTATTTCATTATTTTAGATTACTAAAAACTAACTATTATTAAAAAATGATGAACGTTTTTTGTTTTACTCTTAGCATCAGAATCGTTTCCTTTTTATTGCTTCACATTAATAATTTTTTTTAATTCTAACGCAATATTTTTTTTATAAATCATACATCGAAATTTGAAGCTATGTCTTATCTGTGAGAAGGAGGGGAAGATAGAAAAATAATTTTACACTAAAAAACCGTGTTCGGGCTATAGAGAGGGGAAAGAAACCTGTCTTAAATCAAAATAAAGTGGAATGGAACAAATTAAGAAAAAGGGAAAAATTTTTTGACATAATTTTAGAAATCATTCACATTGTGCGCGTACAAAACACACACAGAAATGCTGGTGTCACGAGGAAAAGAAACCCGAGCAACGCGCTGGGCTAGACAGTGGAGGGAGGGGGGGGTGCGTGGAAGTCATTTTGAAAATGAGTATTAGAAGTTCTGATTTTGTGAAAGAAAGGGAACATTTATAACAGTAGAGATAGCCCATGCAGCGCCGAGCCATGCAGCTAGTCAACATGAAAACCTGAATCCATGAAAGCGCAAGATATGGGATGATATCACAACAGCCAATCCCGTGCTATCATGTGAAGTGCTGATCACCAAAATTTATTTTCCGCTTTAATAGGCGAGCGGGAAAAAATTGTTTTACACGGCTGGCATTGTAGTGATCGCTTTTTCCTCTACAGCGGCATTGACCATCATCTAATGAAGATACATGTATCGTCTACACCAAGGGGGGTGGACCTTTTTGGATCAACGTGCCATTTTTTCTAAAAATGTGTTTAATTGGGTTTAGACGTACCATCAAATAATTATGACTTGTGATTTTTGGAAAAATAATAAAATTAAATACTAACCACATTCAAAACTCTTTATTTACTATTAAAAAATACATTTTGCACTGTATAGCAGTAAATGTTTTTGATATACATGTAATTCAAATTAAAGTAACATTAGTGTGACTTCTATTATTGCCCATCAGAGGACAAATAACTTATATTAATATTTGCAATGTTACTTTTAGCAGAGCGCATGCTGAATAAGTCATATGACAAATGGTTTTCTGAGTGATTCTTAAATGTTATTCGTCTCTGAAAATAATTATTCGTGGGCATAAGTAGATGAAAATTTGGTTAAAAAAGCATGAGCCAACTTCTTCAAACAGTTAAATGTATCTGGAATTGAATTCCATGTTTCCAAAATTTCGTTACTGGCATTTTTACTTATATTGCTTGTTATTTTCTGTTTCAATCAATTCATAACATTTTTTTTGTTTTAATAAATTTTTGAATCCATATTGAACTAGACTGGAAATCAAGCACAATTGCATTTCAAATTCTTCAATTTCTTCCAATCGAATTGGGACAAGTTCAATTTATCAAATGAAGTAACATCAGGGTACATAATATTTATGCAAATAAGTTCTTGAATAACTTTTTCTTCGTCTGATTTTTTTAAGTTCGGGAATTATTAGTAGTTTCTTGTAATAATATCGTTTCTGAAAATATGCAATTTAGCGTTAAAAGCATTGAGATCTCTCTTGAAGATAATATTTTTTATTTGTGTCTTGAGGCTTTACATTCAATTCTTTGAAATGTTGGCATATGTCTGTAAGAACGCGACTGATCACTCGCGTTTATTCGTAATACTTCATTGTGAACTTTGTTATTTTGACCTAAAATGCTAACCAACTTGATCGCAGGCGTGCCCAAGTAATTGTGTCGCGTGCCATTGGTTCGCCATCTCTGGTCTATACGTTCATCTTATCATTTGTTTAAGTAAATACAGTTACATCAACTGCGTAAAGTCGAGCCTCCATTTTAGTTGGCTTCGGTGCTCCATAAACATGCTTCTTTCAGTATAATATATGCGCGTCTTAAGTCTTAGTAAAGGCAGTCACCTCAAATTGTCTTGGCGGTCCATAGGTCGATCGCGATCAACTTAATGCCTATACCGGTTCTAGATCGAAAAACATGTGCTCGTAGAATTTTTTAATGGGGGGGGTTATAAAATCTCTAGTCTAGAAAGGTACACCTTTCAATTCTTCCTCTCGAGGCCTTTCGGAATCTGCAAAAGAGGAAATTCTTAACATTAAATGAGATACCTTCGCGGACCCTCTAGTAAGGAGCTAGGGGGTCCCTGGGGGTCTGCGGACCATAGTCTAAGAACAACTGCCCTAAAGTATCATGAGATTTTTTTTCATAGATTTTAATTTTTTAAAGTATAATAAATTATTATCCTCATAAAAGTTGCATCTTTTATTGTAAAGAATAAAAATGGAACATTTTATTTAAGGCGGGAAATTTATTCCACGTTAAAAACTTCAGCCTTTGCGTGAACCATTGTTATTTTTCGCAATTTTTGTACTGTGAGTTTCTTACTCACAAGAAATAGAACCGGAAACGAAAAAAAAATGAAGGATTGCTTTTTTTTACACTTCAAAACAAAAAAACCCCAAAAATATAGTTTCATTTATATAACAGTTCCTTCCACCCTATAAAACATTGTGAATGCTAATTTTGTATTTTGTGTGTGCCTCTTTTGTTATTCTAACTAAGCCTCAATTCCCCCTGAAAACTGGACAAATTTATGCAAATCCAAGTATAACACCGATTCTCAAAGTGTAGAATATTTGCATTTTCTTTTCAGTTCAGTTTATACATATTTACAAAATTCCTCGATAATAACCGGTTAGTGTTCTTCAGCTTTTTCCTTTCGAATGCAGACCTTGAATATATCTCCATTTTCGCTTTCGAATTTTTCTCAAACTTGCATCATCCTGTCTATTCATGTACCAAACGATACAGTTTTGTAACTTTTGAGAAAACACCCTCTAATTCACCCTGTAACATGGCCGCTACTCTGAAGTAACGTTCGTCCTGAATAGCGTGGTCTAAAAGGTGGGGCAAGGCTCACAAAATAATGATTAGAGTCAATAAAGAAAGTTATCATATCCAATCATATTCTTTCCCAGAAATCAAATATGAGGTGTGGTTTTGTTACATTACTCAGTTGTTGCCTCATGGTATGGGCTTGTTTTCCGACGACCTCCTGTAATTCTCCACTTACGTTAAATTGAATAGACTTTCACATTTATAAAGAAACCCCACTTTCTCGGACTACGTAATTAGTTCCGTTATATTTTCTTGATTGTCGAAATTCGAATAAGTTATTTTTATATATTTAGATATTTGTTGCCACAATGTATTAAGTAAAAACAATCATTTTAGATATAAAGGTAACTTTCAAAAATAATAATTTCTCGTAGTAAATAATATATAAACATATACCGCAAATAGATAAGTATAGTCATCAACTATCCATTTGGGTGGTTGATAAAGAAAAAAACACATTCAAGTCCCCTAGGGCTCACAAATGACGATAGTTAAGAAGGCTAAAAAAATGAATGCAAGCAAACAATATTTATACAAAATATTTAAGTCAATTTACGCGTAGGTCAACAAACAAAAATTTAATTTTAGTTACTTTTTATTAAATATTTACAATTAATATAAATATGTAAATACATATGACAGAATCATAACATTGAGTGGCAAAATAGAAAGCGTTTTTCCTTGCAATTTTCCATTTTCCTTTCTATATAGGGTGTTGGACTATTTTTGTGTTTGTCTGTTACTATTTATTCATTTATTAAATTTAATTAAGTATAGTAAAAAAAGAAATCCCTTTCTCAGAAATTAGGCCATCCCAGGTGGGATTCGAACCCACGACCTTTGGATTAGAAGTCCAACGCGCTATCCAGTGCGCTACAGGGACACATCGAGCGATTTTCCTTTTTATATAGAATATTGGACTATTATTTTTGTTGGTTAATATTCATTCATTAATTAAGGTCAACTAACAAATTAATATTTGAAAAAACTACAAGTTTTAAAAAATGTACTTGAATTTGAATGGATGAATATAGAGTATTTTATTAACAACTGAAAATTTCAACAAGATATATATTTTTGAAGCCCAGTGGCTCAGTGGTAGTGTATCGCGCTTCCATACCACAGGTCCGGGGTTGAAATCCTGGGCTGGACAAGGTCGACTCAGCCTTTCATCCCTTCAGCGGATCGATAAATGAGAGAGCCAAGCTTGCTTATGAATTGAACACAGGGAGTTACGAGTCAGACTGACCACTTGACCGAAACATCTGCACAAGCACCCCAGCGCTACTGAGATAGGCACAATAGGTCTTGGCCCTCATGGGCTGTTGCGCGGGTGTTAGTTTTAAACCAAAAAATTAAAGTTTGGTTATAGATTATTAAAAGAGTTAGTGAAAAGGATGCTAGAGAAGGAATTATTATTATTACAGATTAAATTACTGGTAATAATTACATATATATATACTAGCTGCATTGCCCGGCGTTGCTCGGGCTTTCTCTACTTTTATAAAATTTCCCTTTCCTTCACAAAATCAGCACTTCTAATACTCTTTCAAAATGACTTCCACCCCCATCCCCACCCCTCCGCTTAGCTCGGCGTTGCTCGGGCTTTTCCCGAGTGTCTAACTTAAAGTTCGCTGTTTCAAATTTTTGTTCTTCTTTTCTGTCAGACAGGTTTATTTCCCCCGGCGTTGCATGAACATTTTTAAATGCATAACACATTGTCATGGAAATTCCCCTCTCGCTATATCTCTCGAGTGAGACTTTAATATTCACTCACTCACTTTGCAACTTTTTAGGCCCCGGAAACGAAAATAGTTGTGTGTTGAGAAAAGTAGAAATTTTTATAATTACAAAATTTCACAACTGTATTAAATGGTGAATTAAAATTGTGACCATTTTTTGGAATATTCGATACACAGAAAAAAGTTTCATGCAATTATTTTTATAAATGAAGAAGTTATAAAAACTATGAATTTGATGAGTAGTTATTAAATATTTAAAATTTGAGTATATTTTAAATGATGCAACATATTTAAAAAATAAAATACTACGAAGAATTAAAATTTATTTATTTTTAAGTAATTCCCAGTTTAATAAAAATGTTACTTTGTCTTCTATTTTTTAAAAATAATAAAACTACCTTTTTTACTAATTATTATAATATTTACTTATTACACTTTCTTGAAAGGTTCAGAATTATGCATAGAGACGGACTTGTAAAACCTTCGATATACATCCAATATCAATTTTACTGTAGTTTTGTTATAGGTTTATAATATTGCTAACTATCCACCCTTCTTCAAGTTTAGTGAAATGGGTGTCCTCTCTACACTTGGCCTTTTTCACCTAAATTTGTTTTGTATTTCGATATTATTTTTTGAACTGTACATTTATTTCAATATTTTTTGAGCCACTATAAATAGTATTTAAATTTTAAATTATCACACTGCTTAATGGAAACTCTTATCACAACTTTGCGTTCAAATGGAAGAATCGATCTTACGTTGAATTTAAAAGACATTTATTGAGTGTGAGAACCTGTTAATATTTAACTAACAAAATAATTTCACTAACGTCATTCATACTATACAAATATCGTTTTTTCTCACATTGTGTAAATCGATAAGTACACCGAATCTTCGAATTCTGTATAAGCGACCTTTAATTACCATAACTAAAAACTATATATAGCACGATTTAAAAAACAGTGAAAAACTTTTTCTGAAAAACGGCGTAAATCTATCTTGGTTCAAAATGCATTCTTTTTCAGGTCGACTGAGATTCGAAACGTGTTCCTTTTTGCTAAGATTTTTATAGAAAAATCGTCTGTGTTTTGTCTTTAGAATTTCAGCGAATTTTTGCTTTAATTAATATTGCGCAGTCCGTAAATATTAAGATTTAAAATTTGGCGAACGTAACATACTCGAACTTTTCTAAAATCATAAGCAAATAAGCAACGTTCTTTTTTCGATTAAAATAGAATAAATAATTTATTTCTGGAAGTGTAATACGTTAATATTACTTTTTGTTGTATTTATTTTATGTTAAAATTGTAATCAGCCTGTTCAAGCTTTCGCAGTTCCTGGCACCAGGCGTAGACAAAACAAAATCCAAAGGTTTGTTTCACACATAAAAGATAGATATTTGCTGTCGCGGGCTTTTTTGCAGATGGCAGAATTTTTTCCTACTTACTTGACAATTATTGTTATATTTTGGACACTTCATACAATATCTTTATAAACTATATCCTATGTGTTATTCTGATGTATAAGCTATACTATTGTAAAGTTTCATTAAAATACATTCTCTGTTGTTTTTGCGTGAAAGACTACCAAACATCCTCACAAACTTTCACGTTTATAATATATATATATATATATATATATATATATATATATATATATATATATATATATATATAGGGAGATTGTGAACTAAAATAGTAGGAATTGAAAAAAGAAATAGAAATAGAATGAGAAATATATATACCGTGTGTATATATATTCCGACATAATACGTGCATCCACTGGCGCACTTAAGGGGGGTGGGCACGAGTCCTCCCCCCATAGCCCTTGATATTTTTCTATGATTGACGAAATTCTTATGTATATAGTGCGTAAAATTCAATTAAGTATTTGTTTTTCACAATTTATTTTATTAGTTAATGCTAATTATTAATTCAATAATTTATTTTTTACTGTTTTTTGTTCCCAAAATCTACAAAATCAAAAGGATATGTTTGGCGGCATTTTGAGGTATGATACGGAAACGACGGGCTTCCGACCCTGGGCCTCCTTGAAAAAATTTTGTATGCGCCAACTGCGTCCTCCTATACCAGGGATGGTGAGCCAGAGGCACGCGTGCCATTGATAGCACATAACACAATATTCTTGGCACGCCAGTGATCAAAAGGGTTTGCATTTTATTTCAAAATTTCAAATTTCACTATAAAGTATTACAAACAAACACAAGTGATCGGTGGCGGGGAGCACACTCGTTTGTTATTGTCTTGCCTCAGTTACGTCGTAGACTACATTTTTTTTTATTTAAAATTCGTCTGCGCATAGTATGGCCAATTTTATTAACACGGCTGTATTTTAAAGTTTACCTGTGTTATATTTACGATTTTTAGCTGTTATTTAATAAGGCGAGTTCAGCAAAAGAACAAAAATTTCAAGATATTAAGTGTAACAGAGAATTTAAAATTTGGTGAACCGAGAAACATGGCTTTATTAGTAATGGCGATAAAATAACGTGTGTTTTATGTTCTAGAATAGTGGTATGCAGAGAATTATCGATAAAACTGTATTTTGAAACAAATCGTAAATCCTTTTGTTAAAAAAAAGTGAACTACAACAAAAAGAATCGCTTACAAACCGTTTGCAGATGACTTAAATTCAGCATGTATTCTACAAAAAGTAACATCTTACAATCCTAATGTAAGTTGTCATCCAATCTGCAACAACGGAAGTCACACTAATGTTACTTTAATTCAAATTACACATATAACTGAAACATTTATAACTATATAGCAGTGTTTCTCAAAGTGTGGGGCGCACCCCCCTGGGGGGGGCGCGATGACCCTACAAGGGAGGCGCGAGCGTATCGAAAATTTAAAGATTTTTTTTAAAAAAAATAACCGGAAAGAGAAGTAAAACAAAATGTTTTCTTCCATAATAAAAAAAAATACACACAACAACACTGACATAATTTATGTTTATTATCTAGCTTTTTCCGTCATCAAATAGCTATCTTTGATCCCAAAACCAAATTAAAAAAAAAAAAAACATTTTGTTTTATTTGCTGTTTTTCCTCAATGAGAGATTTTTTTATTACGTTTTAACATAAAATATTACTCGTTAAAAGAAAAAACGAAACCCAGACCCTGAGAAAAATTCTAAGAAGATAAACAATTCACCGCTGCAATTATTATTGAAATACTGTACATTAGTTGTAGAAAAAGAAAAGGAAGTCATGATTCACTTTTCAGCCAGGCTGCATAGTACGTTCAGTTCAGTTCAGGTTTTGTGGGATATGGAGCAACAAAGGCTATGATCCCCTAAAAGACAGATGTTTCTTAAAAATTAGTAGATGTCAAAATATTTCAGTTTCTGGATAAAAAATCTGAATGTTAATTTGACCTTCAATCTTATGGTATGGTTATTATCAATATTAGTTCCCTCCCGTCTTTCATGTGTTTGCTTTTCGCTTAAGGAAATTGTAAATAATTGAGTTTTGCGATATTTGGAAAAGAATTGATTGGTTTAACATTTCTGTAGGATAATTGAAAAGTGTCTGATTTGCGTCCTTTATTATGGTCTTGTACTTTTGAATCATTTTAGTTCAGTTTTATTGGATTTTTTCTCAAATCATCAAAGAATTGAATAGTCCTTGAAAGAAGGTAAGTATACTTTCTATAAATTAAAATATTCACTAGAATTCCGATTTGTATCGTGTACAGTAAAAATAATTCTAAACAAATGATTGGGGTGACTGAGTCCCCCTGCACTACCATTAATGTTAGTATCGAGTACGCGCCTGCTCCCGGGTTAAACTTTTTGAAGTCTTCTCGCTTTAAATGTTAAAAAGTAACACAATTATTCTTCATCGGAATTTTATATTCTTTTTCATAATTTAACATTAATTCTTAATGCTAATTGTGTGAGGTTTAAAATTACAGTTCTTTTAAACAGTTATTTACAATTATAGCATTTATCTAAAAAAAAAAAAAAAAATCATTTTACATTTTTGTATACAATGTCGTGCACACAGTTTTACTCTCCTTACAGTTCAGCTATTATATCAAGAATAATGTTTTTATTTTTTTAAAAAATGAACTCGTGCGAAGAGTCGGTGTTTCAGCCAGTATACGTTTGATGTATC